GTGTGTGTGTGTATGTCTCTGTGTCTGTGTGTCTGTGTGTGTGTGTGTGTGTATGTGTCTCTGTGTGTCTGTGTGTGTGTGTGTATGTGTCTCTGTGTGTGTCTGTGTGTCTGTGTGTGTGTGTCTGTGTGTGTCTTCTGCAGCTGTTCCCATCAGAGATTCCTCATTCTGACTTCTGACAAAGTGACTCAGCTGGAAAGACAAGAGCTGGAAGTTTAAAGAATCGTTTGGCTCTTAAGTTCTCATCTTATATTTTGCCCTTAATGGTTTACTTTGGACTGCTAGTCAAAGATCTTGGAAAGCCTGGCGATCTCCTTCCGTCAGGTCACAGCCACTGGACGTCCTGCAGAGCACAGCTCTACTCTGACATGCCTGCGGTCGCCAGGAGTGGGAATCAACTTGATGGCAGCAGGTTTGGGTTTTATAACGAATTTCAGATCTGACGAAAAACATCCTTGAAGCAGAACTGAAATACAGTATCCACAACTTTTCTCCTTTTAAAAAGTTCTTTTAAGAAAAAAATCGCCAGTTCTCCAAATCAGAATTTTGCAGTTAGGTGCTTTTTATAGTCATAGAGAAAAAGAATGAGTTTTAAACTGCTTCCTCAAAGTTAGCGGAGAGAGAAATCCCTTGGTAATTACATTGTCCAGATTACAACCTTTTTGACAGGCCCCGGGCAGAGGGTAAACCTTGCCACCACCCCTCCAAGAGCGCCGTCCTGACCGTGCAGACTCGGATGGTAAGGCGGCCACCAGACCTGCAGGAGAAGGGCGTCCTGCGGCTCTCAGCCACGAGGGCAGAGCTCTCCTGATGGAGACCCCGTGGCCAGAAGCAGCACCCAAACGGGGTGGTGAGCTGTAAAGACATCTGGAGACATTTGGGGAAGTTTGTGGACTGCGTATTAGATGATGTCATTGAATTCAGGTTGATTTTTGTAGGTGTGATAATAGTTTTGTGGTTATGAAAATGTTCTTTGGAGATGAGTGTGGAAATATTTAGGTGTGAAGTGTCACGACATCTGTAATCTGTTATCAAATGGTTCAGCTCTAAAGTGCGAGGAGTGTGCACACGTGTGTGCGTGTGTGTAGCGAGAAGGAGTGTGTGCAAACACGACACAATAGTAATGGGTGAATCTAGATCATATGTTCTCAAGGAGACCATTTCCAAGGGGGTGAAAGTCGGTTCTTGGGAACAATGAATTCTTAGCTATTAGTCTGTGGCCCTCCAAACTCAACCCTACTGGATAGCGTGAGCAGCTGCACAGTGTAACTGTGCTGTTGACATTTCACAGAGGGGCAGTTAGGAAAAAAAGTCCCAGAAGGCTCGGGGTTGGGGGAGAAAACTGAGTGAAAGGCTGAGAAACACTGATCTAGATGAAGGATAGTCGCTTTTGTTGCACTAGTCTTTGAACTGTTCTGTAGGTTTGAAATTTTTCAAAACAAAAAAATTTTACAGCGTTATTGAAAAAATTTACAACCTGCGAAGTACTGAGAGCACACACTCTAGGTCTCCAGCTGTAACGCGTCACCCAGGCTCTGGAGCTCTAGTAATACCTGAGCCCACGCTCACATGTCAAGAGCAGGAAGGTTCGAAGCCTGCAGTTTGCAAACCTCCCTCCCTCCCTCCTTCTCTGATTTTGTTATGAACAATAATAATCTATCCAGTTAAATTGTGGTGATCTTTTTAACAGTACTTTACAATTTAATTCAGTCTTTGGAATTTAGGCACCAGCCCCTGGCCATCAGAGGTCTAGGTGGCTTTGCAGCTGGATCAGAGGACGGGAGGACGGGAAGGCGGCGGCGCCTCCTGGTGGCGGGAGGCCCTGCATTGGGGCCCCGCACTCTGCTGCCCTTTCCCTTCACTGCATCTGCACGCGCAAAACCACTGCGGGTCTCGTTTGCTCTGCCTTCATCAGTTCGTTGTGGGGATCACGTGTATTAATGAGAATGCTTTGGGGTGTTGGCACGTGGTCAGCATGCAGTGCAGATCAGCCCTTGCTGCTGGGGCCCCAGGAGCCGAGGGACAGGGGTATCACGGGCAGCACAGCTGGGTGCCCGGGCCCCACTTCCGTTTGTATGGTATGATGGACGAGTTACGGCAGCTCCAGCTCCTACATCTCCAAACAGGGACCCCCATCCCCTGAGGTCCTTATTAGGGTCGGGGGAGGCACCTGAGTTGTCACAGGGGCAGGCTGGCCAAGTAGACCTGTACCTGGCAGGAGGCTGACATGAATGAATGAATGAATGAAATGATAGGCCAACCCTGAGCACCTCCACCCTCTGCCACATGGAATGCTGGACACGATGGAGCAGCTCAGGTAGAGTTTTGGGGGGAAGACTGTAATCCCCAAATTCCTCACCCAGCGGGTGCCATATATATGCGGAGGCAGAGGAGATGCAGCCGCAGATTAGCACAGACAAACACCATATCAGGAGGTTTCAGAAAACATTCCTGGAAGATGTATTCCAAGGAATTTGCTGCTAAATCAGGGAACTCAAGAGCAGAGCAGCGTACGGAAGAGCTGTCGGGGACCTCTGCTGAGGTGGAATAACCGGCAAGAGTGTGCTTATGAAACTGAATGCAGAGCTCAAAAGTGCTTGTACAAAAAGCAATGTAATGTGAAAATCATGAGGAGATTGAATAATAGCGGTGTGTTCCTAAAATCTCAGATTGGATTCATGAAGGGGAGGGATTAGGAGTGTTGAATCCCCACCTATGGAGCTCAGGTGGCTGATGCAGCTCTTCTGCCCGGATCAGAGTTCCCCGACCACAGATGAGTGATGATTTCAGGATCCGGAGCATCTGCTTCTCCACACACCACATGTTACAGGCGCCGACCATCCCTGTTATAGATCGAACGGCATCCTGCAAAAATACATGTTGTAAATACTCAGCCCTATAGCTGTGGGTGTAATCTCATCTGGGAACGGGTTTTCTTTGTTGTTGGTGAGACCATCTCAATGTAGGGTGTGTCTTAAGCCCATCACTTCCGAGATGTGAAAGGAGCAGCTTAGGTACAGGAGCAAGGAAGCACAAAGGAGGGACCCAGAGAGGCCACGAGGTCTCCAAGGAACACCAAGAAGAAGCTGGCATGAGGATTTTCCCCCGGGCTGACAGAGACAGCCTTCCCCTAGAGCTGGTGCCTTGAGCTCAGACTTCTAGCCTCCCGAACTCTGAGAAAATAAATTTCTGCTTGTTAAGGCCACGCCCACGTGTGGTCTTTCTGTTACAGCAACCGTGGAGACTAAGACACCGCGCTTCGCTCTCTGAGCCTGCGTCCCGGGACACTGGCCACACGCCCCTCTGCTTCCTGCTCCCCCAGGCCTGGGACCTGGAGGCCAGAGGGGCCTCGAGGAGGTGGGGGGTGGCTGGACAGGCTGGCTGCCTGGGGTGTGTCCACCCATGTCTTGACACTGGGACAGAGTCATAACCGGGACTCACTCTTAGGGATATAGGTTTCTGTCACCATAGTGGCACTTGGCAGCCGCAGTTAGGGGCGCGGATCAACGCTCGGGATCCCTGTGGGGTTGGCCCACACACCCTGCTTTCACATTTCTAAGTGTCTGCCCTGTACCACAGTGTCTCATGCACATGTGGGTGATGACCACAGTTAGCTGAAACCTGGTCTCATTTCAGAAGGAAGACGCTCTCCTTCAGCAGCACCTTGCCTGACCTCTCTTCATCCTATGAAACAGCGATTAGAGCAAAAAGAGCTGAAGAGAGGCGTGTGGCGGCCCTCAGAGAACTCAGGGAGAAGCAGACTCTGATGGAACAACGGAGAAGGTGAGGGTGAACCAGAGCGTGGTGAGGACAGGGCAGGTTAACACCCGGGGTAGAGAGGAGGGAAGGACCCAGCCTTCCTTGCCTCTGGGGTCCTCTTATTTTTTCATCTGAGTACGAAGGCCGCCCTGTCTGACTGGAGGCATGTAGCTCTTCCGGGTGCGAGACCTTCCTGCTCCGCAAGTCCCTGAGGTCCTTGTTCTGCCCCGCCTGGCCACTCACCATGCCTGTGCCCTAGCCCTCCTCACCGTGCCCGCGCCCTAGCCCTCCTCACCGTGCCCGCGCCCTAGCCCTCCTCACCGTGCCCGCGCCCTAGCCCTCCTCAC